AAAGTTGCATCCTGTAGTTTTAACTAGAAGACACACACCTCTTGAACAGCGAACATAGATCTTCCTGCGGCATCAATAACTTTCGGTGGTTTAATTCCTTTCACAGTCACGTAGAGTGTTGAAGGATATTGAAGACGGGAAGGCGACGTCCACCAATGATAAACCTCAGGTACATTTGGGTTTGATAACTGTCGACGTCTGTTTGATTTCACGGGATGGAATAACTGCAGACGGATCTTGATGTCGGTGTTAGGAGATCCATTGGAACCCACCAGCTAAACCAAACAAGGAAAGGTATACAGTATGTAATTATTACCTTTGCCAGGTTAAGTGAGTGGGGGTATGCTAATCGTCCTTACATGCAGCTGAGAGCTAACCGAATCACAAAGGATGCGGTTCAACCTGATCGAGTCGAAGGTTTCTTAAGGACGCGCCTCTGGCAGCCACCCATGATACGTGCTGCCCGATCACGGAGTACAGCTATTGCAAACAAGTTGTTACAAGTCTGCAAACAAGTTGTTATAAATCTGTTCACAAGCAGTTGTCTACACCGTTTGTTCCCCAGTTGTTTGTGATGTTACTCTGAGTGTGCATCCACACCGGCAAGCTGAAAAGTTGGCTTGGCGACGGGAACGAACCCGCGACCTTGGAACAACTTTGCTTGGCTAACATCGAACCCGCGACCTTTGGAACAACTTTGTTCCCAGTTGTTGGAACAAGTTTGAAACAAGTTGTTAACAAGCTTGATGACATTATCGTACTTGTCACAAAGTTGTTCTAACCAGTCTGATACAGCCATGATAAACAAGAATGTGACAAGGTTGACGACACAAGGTTGTAACAATATTGTTATATCATCACTGTATCGGACTTGTTGGAACAACCTTGTAACAAGCCTGATGATATCAACATGGTTGTTACAAACTGTTAACAGCTTGTTCCAAATTTGTTGACAACTTGGGACAAGCAGTGCGAATACAACTTGTTGACGGCTTGTTGGCAGACTTGCTACAAGATGTGAGATTTTTACGTGTGTATCCAAGCAATCAATCTTACACTATACATGTTCTAATTAAGGATTTTTCAGCCCAGAAAAGCAATACACACTTTTGTTAATTACTCGTCCAAATTTTTTATTAGTCGGTTTGTTCTTGTATGGCCATTAGCTCCATACATTTTCGTATCAAAATGCGTGGCAGTTTTTGAGTTATCCTACTGACAGACAATCTCAAGCAAACACAAACAAACCCAGGTGCCCTCCCACAGGGAATGCGGACAGTGTGGGTTGGGATTAGCCCCTAACTGACACTAGACTTGTAACAACTTGTGCGTTTTTACGTGACAGTGTGTAATGGATACTTGACTTAACTTGCTGGCGGAGTGTCCTGCAGTATTAGTAACCGATTTACTAAATTTTAACCTACCGCCTCTCACTAAGAAAATCAGACTTCTAACATTGATACAGATAGTACATAAGTTAGTACACAAGACAACAGACAAGATAATGAGACTTCTAACATTGATAGTACACATAAGTTAACTTCCACAGTTACCTTAAGAAATGCCCATGCAATTTGGTACCATCCTCTATCCGACCTCTGAGTGCCCTTCAATTTGTTTATTGCTGCCATACTAAGGAAGTCGAGTATCTGCAAAAGAGACTCACAGTTGCAGAGATCTTTACTAAACCTTTGTGTTGTAGGACAAAGTCAATGCCTCTTCTGCCTAACAACAATGGCTTGATTTCTAAAGGTCTCGTTAAATAGCAGACGTTCAATGTCTTCTCACCTCAAAGAAAATAATGACATCGGGATCACCTTCATTGCGTTGTAAAAAGTAAGAATATATTTCATTGATGATAAGAACATCCTCCCATGATGGAATGAGAGACCTGTAACCATGACATATAAGTTCAGTTATATTTCTGCCTGCGTGGCTTTCAAAGAAAGCAGTACGGAATAAATCAAGGCTGGAACATACTTTTGTTGTTTGAAGTCAAACGGTTGAGTCATTAATGGCAGGATATGATCCACCGTTTCTGGATTCTCGTAGTATGACGTCGCTGCACGATTTCTATGAAATGAGAATCAGTATTTATGAGAAATCGAGTTAGATGGTAATCAAGGTCAAGGAAATGGTAATCTGCTATTATTGGATAAGTGGGTTTCGCTAAGCATCATGGTGTATTGTGGTCAACCAGCAGACACCACCAAGCCATCTTGGCGTCACTTTTTTGGACTCGACTTCTCGCTCCAGATATATACAGTATATCGAGCTCACTGCATGACTATGCCAGAAACATACAAACTTACCCACTGCATTTCTTCACGTATTCCCCGGTATTAACATCTAGCACGTGAACACGTACTAATGGATGGTTGATTCTTAAGTCAGTCTTCAGTCTGTCAGCCTTGTGGATCACGATACACATCACGTGACCATCATCTTGACGTTTCTTCTCCAGAGCACGATGAATGACGTCAGCGGACGCTTCTTCAAAATTTTAAAACGTTTTCGTAATTTAGGCGCCATTCGCACGGAATTCCCATGTGAACAAGCGCAGGGCACAATATGTACACACGTATAAAAACACACAAGTTGTTACAGGTCTGCAAACAAGTTGTTACAAATCTGTTCACAAGCTGTCAACAAGTTGTCTTCGCACTGCTTGTTCCCAGTTGTTGAAACAAGTTTGAAACAAGCTGTTGACAACTTGTAACAAGCTTGATGGCATTATCAGATTTGTCACAAGGTTGTTCTAACAAGTCCGATACATGCAGTCATGATAAACAAGAATGTTACAAGGTTGTAACAATACTGCTATATCATGACTGTATCGGACTTGTTCGAACAACCTTGCAACAAGTCTGATAATATCAACAAGGTTGTTACAAGTTGTTAACAGCTTGTTCCAAACTTGTTGACAAATACACAATTCCAGTTATCGACTAATTTTTTATCTCGACAGGAAAGACGAAATATATAATTATAGCTCAAAAGAGCATCCAAAAATGAGTAAAATTGCAAAGTTTGGTTGCGAAATGTTGTAAAATACGAAAAATATAGCCCTGTGAAATTAGCAAATTTTCAGTATTTTAGTATTACGCGCGGTAAAAGTAACCACTTTCAGCTCAAAATGGTTATTTTTAGTAATTTTTTACCGCGCGTAATACTAAAATACTGAAAATTTTCTAATTTCACAGGGCTATATTTTCCGTATTTTACAACATTTCGCAACCAAACCTTGCATTTTTTACTAATTCGAGGATGCTCTTTTGAGCTATAATAATATATTTCGTCTTTCTTATCTAGATAAAAAATTAGTCGATACTAAGCTGGAATTGTCTACTGGGACAAATCAGTGCGAAAACAACTTGTTGACGACTTGTTGGCAGACTTGCTACAAGATTTTTGCGTGTGTACACGGAACACACCTTTTAATTTCTTTCGTCGTCGTTTACCAGTTTTGGACTTCCCCGTTTTGGGTTCCCGCGAAGTCGCCCCAGTCTCCTGCTCGTCTTCGTATCCAAGATTTTCCCGCGCTTGAGATTTCCCGCCTTCCTTGTGTACCGCTTTATCCTCGCGGTCTTCGATATCGTATCCAAGATTGTCCTGCGGTTCCCTTCGTGTCCTCGAAGTCCCCTCGTGTCCATCAGCGGCATCAAGGTCATTTGTAATGTCTTCAGTCGATGGTCGATGTTTTGACCGTTTCTTTAGTCTTTTTCGTACTTTCTCGGCATTTACCGCGGTTTCTACCGCAGCTGCGATTTCCGTATCCTCGAGATTCGTTTTCTTCTTAGCTCTACAATATAAAAGATAATTTTAGAAATGAATAGTATTTCAACAATTAGTTAAATTACCAGTTTTCCGCTAGCGCGTTGCTTCGCACAAAACCATAGTGAAAATAATTGATTCATATCCATTTAGTTCCAGCAAAGATTTCACAGGACAAAAAGTGTAGGGAAATCGCACGACAACGTTCGCGCTAGTGGAAAACTGTATTTGACTAAAAATGGCTTAGTTTTGAAATGACGAATGGCGGTCAACGGACCAATGACCGGCCAAAAATTCCTCTTTACTGGTCACTTTTTTACCTCACCGGTCATTTTGACCGACCACATTTTCATGCCTTCCAATGTGATTGCTGACGTCTTGAATTAAAACTATGATGTATCGAAACAAGATTCAGTTCTTATTATATACATGACAAAATTACTGCAATCTGATTGGTTAAGAGGAGTGCAATTATTTCATTAATTGCACTCTCCAGGAGTGCAATTAATGATTTTCGTGATGGCTGGGGGGAGCGGGAAATCAAAACAACAAAATCCAATATGGCGGCGAAATTTAGATAAGTATTTCTAACAAATTTGGACGAATTTAACTGAATTCTGGCACAAGAATAAGTTTAAGAAACATTGTATGACAAAAAGAGCCTGTGGAAAATACCTGGAAACAGTCTTAAGAAATACCGTAATCTTGGCGGGATGCAGTGAAACGTGACTATGTAAAGTTTGAAATACAATTTATTTAGTCTAAAATATGTTATTTGAGTTTGAATCTTGTGTTCCGGTTTAAGTTATGTGCCTTTATGAGTTTATAATCATTTCCCAAGTTTGTTTATACCAAATTGCTTACGAAAGAATTAAAAACTCTTGACAAAAAGCAGTTGAAATATAAAGAAAGCAATTTTGGCACATTTTTCAAATATCACTCGTAGTGTTAATCATTAATTGCACTCCTTCCCGTGTGATTACCTACACTAATAGTTAGTTTCACTGTTAGTGTAAGCGTATCAATGACAGGTCAAAAACAGATTTTGACCGAGTTAAAATCAAGTTGACTGGTCATTTTCACCGGAGACCTATCTCCCGTTATTTTGAGCCCTGCATCGGGAGTCAGGTTTGATTTTGTAGGCGTCACTTGCTGTACGTCTCAATTACGTGATAGGAGGCCTGGGTTCCAAACATAATTTGGAGTAGAAGCAGGCTTTTTGAAAGAAATAAGTGGCTATGTGATGCCGAAGGTACCAGTGGAAGGTACCCATATCTACATAGGGGTCTGGCGTCATCTCTCTGTAAAGATTTTGAAATGGCATTCCAGCCATTTGGAGAGTTGTTTTCGAAGAATATCATGTAAAATGTATCGGTTGTTTCCCTTGTGATTCTGTGGTAAGACGGAAATAATTCCCGACAATTGTCCGCTCTATATAGGCAGCGAAATTTTCCGCGTGCCAGATTCTTTTTGGAAGGAGGAGGAGGCTTGAACAAGGAAGCCTGAGGAGGCTTAAACAAGGAAGGCAAAATTAAACAAGAAGTTGATCGACCTTCTTTCTTTCCGTTCGCCGTCAGTTTTCTTTGATCTCTGCAGACGATCTTCTGTGATTTCGTCTTGGGACCATCCTGAGAGTGCTTCACTGTAGCTTTGTTTTGTCTCTTTTTCAAGACTTTTATTCTTATCTGGAGATAAAATTTTAAACAATATATGTTAACTTAACTCTTTATTTAACCAATAGAGTTCTTAGCCGAGCAAATCGACTTGTTAAAACGATTCGTCTGATGGTTCGAGAAAGTTTATTTGAGGCTGGATAGTAAAGTATCGGTAACTTATCATTGTCGGTTTTGCCAGTTAGGGAAAGCAAATTTAAAACGTCGTTCTTAACTTCAGGGGTGGAAAAACTAGGCGAGGACGCGAGCACTGCTCGCAGGAAATGTTAAACAGCTGCAGGAAATTCGTTTGAAGGAAGACTTGCTATTGAAAATTTGAAGGAAACCTTAACACCCATGTCCCACTATGGGCGCAACGACATATGGTTGACAGACATTATTCCTTGAATTTAAAACCATGGTCAGCTAGAACACTATAGGTTTTTATGCACATGCAGATTTAGCACAAAAATACTCCGTTGGTCTGCAGGAGATTTTTGTCTCCCAGGAAGAAATTTCTTTTTACATGCCTTGCTTAACTTACCATTTGTGTAGAGATTAGCTTGGATCAAATTTTGTTCTGCAAGTGTTTGATCTTTTCTAATTGGTGTTGTAGTATCGTCATTCAGCTAAATAAAGCATGCGAAATATACCATGAAAGTATGACTAAATACCTAACTATGTAGCATTAAAGTTTTGTGGTAATGTACATAATTCGTGTGCATGCTTTAACAGGGTTCGTAGTCTCCAAGACCAAACAAATTCTGCCTATTTTAAAAGACTTTTCAAAGACCTTTGAGAGCAATCAGGTGTCGAAAAATTGCGAGTGTAAGCACCATTTTTACCCAGTAATTAGTCCCGTCAAATCACATTTAATCAATCTATTTTATTAGCTACGAAATCGTATAATCAATTCCTCACTAAAGAATTTAAAGACTTTTAAAGACTTTCTTCGCTTTTTCACACAATTTAAAGACTTTTCAAAGACCTCAAAGACCTGCATTCCAATTTAAAGACTTTCAAGGATTTCGAAGACCACTACGAACCCTGTTTAATCTAGCCCAGCCGAAATCATGCTTCTTGTAGAATCATTGATTTCCTTTCATTACCTGATCTGCGGACTGTGTTCTTTTCCTTCGCCTCTTCTTTTTTGTCTTCTCGACATTTTCAGGATCATCACTATCAAAAATGGCCAAGAAAAACCTTTGATAAGTACAAATTTTCCGGGCTGATATTTTACAGCTGGTAAATAAGATATATTCATACCCAATTTCAAACTTTGCTAGCTTTTCTTGGGTCTCTTTCACATGTTTTGTTGTCTTTGACTTCCCACCAGAATGATCTTGAAATATATCACAGTGTTAACCCTTTGATTGGCAATGCACCCTACTTCAAATGTTATTCTACTCTGTCTAATGCCAGACAAAATTCATTTGTCATGGGAAGGGAAATAGTTTCATGTCTCATTGTTTTGTCTGGGTCAGGGTAAGGATTATGGTCATGAGTATTCATAAACAGTGACACATCAATCTATAATGGAAGACACCTTGAACAACCACCAGTGACCTCATACCACAGATATCTTATATACACTAGATAGTGCATCTAATTATACTGCAATTCAAAAATTGAAGCCGTGATTGCAGACTCAGGATATTCCCATGAAATGAGAAGACTTGTATGTTTTCTATTTCTTTATAAACAGGGAACTTAAACATTAAGTTAAACCTATTCCAAATACATTTTCAAACTATTCAAATGATGAAAGTTATTGTTGTTTTTTAAGCGTTTATTAGCGAGTGGGAAACTCCAACATGGCCGCCATCTATTCAAATGGGGGTAACCACTGGAATATTCTTGGCTTCAATTTTACTATTTAAAAGAGATACACTATCTAGTGTATATAAGATATCTATGTCTCAAACTCAGTACACGCAAGCTCACTCTGATAATGAGCAAACAGGCAAAAATTGTGAAGCATATCTTCGTCTTCGTTGCCTCTATTATTTAACACTTACAGTCCTCTATGTAGTCTGCAGACACATCCTAAAAGAAAACAATAATTTTGAGATTAACTAATAAAACCATTCAATTAAATTACCCACAAATAATTAAAATTTGTTCAAGACTTCAAGGGCATATCAAAGTCAGTGTCAAACTGGTATTACCTTAACTGGCATGGATGCCGATTGACTTCTGTCGTGTTTCTTGCGAGATCTTCTCACTTGCCTTGATGATTCCACTGAAATGTAAGGTAATTAGTCATTGAAGATGCGAAAATCTCATCAGGAACGGAGGCACGTTTTGGATTCAGATTTCATTATGGTAGATTTTGATATATCTGACATGATTTTATAATATAAGCTAATTTAGGTAATATTATTGTAAATTATTAACAAGCGGTGCCATCTTGGTTTAGTTCATAAAATGGGTCATTTCTGTTGGATGTACTGTGTCCGTGGTGAATAAATCACATATCTAGTTTTTTTTGACAATTATAAATTCATTATTATCCTCGTGATAATATTTATGAGGGTGGGTCAAGTTTGTAGTTGCCTTTTATGGCAATTATAAAACTTCAAAATTTTTTTTGACATTGGCGTCATGATTAAAGCCCTGTATAGCCTGTGTGTCGGGCTCTATGCTTGAAATACAGCCTGCTACTGAATGCAATAAAAAATGAACAGTTATCAAAGCTAATTTAACCCATTAAGCACCAGCGCTCTCCCCTTGACGAGTAAAATCGTCTGGTGTTAGACAGAGTAAAATACTAAAGTGGGGTGCATCTGGGTGCAATGCGACTCAATGGGTTAAAATATGACAATAACAGCCAATTTTTCTGCCAATATCTCGAAAATAAATATTCCAATTTTCATTAAACAGCCAGGAATTACATTATACTAAATAATAATAATAACAGTTATTGAGCGTATTTATAGACAGCAAAGGCAGTAATTAATGCGGCCAAAAGTACAATTACAAGTACGGAATATCATATTACGTAAACAACAACTTTACATCACCTTAAAAGGCAATGCTATTTATTTCTGACCAATGGGAATTTTGCATATGATTTGTATGCATAAATCCACTTGTTATTGACCTCAGTGGCAGGCCCTATTTCAAGCATAGAGCCTGACATGCAGGCTAAGTCTCTTACAGATGAGCAAGTTTTACTTGACAATTTTCCTTCGCGAGTTTACTTTCTCATGTGTTTTCACAGGCTTTACAGTCAACTCGGCCCACTAACCAACTCGGCCCACCGTTCAAGGAACAACTCCGCCCGCTCGTAAACTGACTATTATCTAACCACTAAACAAGCTAGGAGCCATGACTGCATTCTATCTTTGCAAATTTTGAGAGAGATTTGAATGATCAGTAATTTAGTATCAAAACGAACAGATAGAGAATTTGAAACTTCGATAGATTCTTTAATTAAATTAAGTCAAACTGGATGTTCTCAAACTTTACTCATCTGTATGCCCAATGCAACTGTACATGGCTGTATTGGTTTGGTGCTATCTTTTGTAAAATATTAGCTTTCCTAATATGTCAAACAGTAGTTAACAATTGGGCCAAGATGGTATGGGCCGAGTTGGTCAGTGGGCCGAGTTGACCAGCTTCCTTTTCACAGAATGTTGTTAAACATTTATCTCACATCAAGGCCGCTTTTGTTTGCCAAACCCACAGACATATTTTGTGTAAACTTGTCAGGTTTTCTTTGGCAGCTGTAGACACAAACAAAATTTCCTTGTCCAACAGCTGGCATGCCTAGCTTTGCAACAAGGCTCGTTGGCAAGTAAAAATTGTCAATTTTTTGCCGTACACGTGCAAGCAAATAAAACTTGTCAAGAGAAACTTGTCACAGCTTTAATAATTGCAAATGTTGGCAATCTCCAGCGACAGTCTTTGACATTATGGACGTGGCCCGTAATAAAATTGTTTTACATTTTGTTAACTTTATCACAATATTTATCTCAATTAGGCCATGGGAATGAAAGTCATAGATTTGCGTCCGGATAATTTTGAAAAAACATGCGGGTTTTTTTCATTATTCATTATTTTTTTACCATCCTTTTGGGTGGTAAATACAGAGATCAAAACACGAATTACCGTTTACGCCACGGAATTACATATATCTCGAGCTCACGCAGTTGCAGTACTAAGATCTGTGTGCCAATTTCGCCATTTCGGTGAATATAATTTGGAATTTCATAGAATGTGGATACTGAGGACAAACACACTGCAATATGTTCATTTTATTGTAATCAATACACAATTTTATTGCTAATTTTATTGAGTTTTGTTTTATTTGTGAAAATAATGAATTTTTTTGTAAATAATGAAAATTTTAGGCGGTAGCTTTTGAGGCATGCGGGCGGTGGACGCAAATCTATGACTTTCATTCCCATGGCCTTATCTGTAAAGTTTAACAAAAGTTCGGTAAGCAAAAAAGTTATACAAGCAGTACTTGCGACTAACTATAAGCAACATCCTTCAAATCTCATAAACATACCTTCTAGCATAATGCCAGCTCACAACGCTACAACCAAGCTACAAAAAGAACACAACCGTCCTAACGTAGACTATTTAAAGTCTATACTTTGACAAATTATGACAGTTCATGCCTTGTTTTCAAGATAACACAGAGATTGTCCACTTCGATTGATTGCGAGACATACGTCATATAAAATCAAGTTATATCTACATGATGTTGATTAGTCTGTTTCTACTCCAAAGTCATTTAAACGTCGATTTAGAAGACAACATTCTTCGTTCCTTTCTTCCGACATTTTGAAAATTTTTCAAACAAAATATTTCGGCATTATTTCGTTCCCAGTCTTCCGAGCGAAACTGGCGAAAATACTGGCCGTCATTTGCATCTAACAATGAACATTAGCAAATGCACGCATGCGCATTTTCAAGCTCGTTCCCAGGCTCCTATATGTGACTGATTATCCTTTGATGCAAAAAATAAAACAATGGTATAATAACTAATTCAGTCAGTTTGGCTAGCAGTAAGTTGTATAAGCTCGATTGTTTACAATTTTGGTGCAGTCTTAATTTTAATTAATGAACATGTACACGATAACACTCAATTTATGTATTCTAATAAAATATTCTAGTCGTTTTTTTACGTTGCTGTAATAATATATTACTTATTGCTTCCACAGTAATCATTGAGAAATGAATCGTGGTAAAGTTGAAATATAACTTATGAGTTAAATAAACTAAGATACTATATGTAAATCCTGAGTTCGTTGCTCAAAACACCTTCTACTGTATTTACTCGTTTAAACGCAGCGGTAGCAAAACTCCTTGGGTACGAAATTGCAATCTTTGGCAAGCCTCGGAACTTTTTTCTCCTGCATGTAAGCGATTTTATTTTTTTTATTTTGTTGCTGGCATAGTCTTGTTGCATAAATAAAATATTTTGCAAAGAACGCCGCATCGAAGCACCAAAAATGTAAGTAGCGCCACCGCCGCCACGTCGCTTAAACGAGTAAATACGGTATCCCGAACTGCATCACTAACTATTACGTTCACACAACGCCTGAGCAAAATTGTTTGAAGACGTCACTTTTGCCGTATACCAATTTGAGCACGGTTTCCAAACGGAACGAGATGAAAACGCTTGGCGGCTTCGTGTGAACACAAACGCCGTTGTTTTTTTGAACCGCTTGCAAACCAAGCATCTCAGGTCTCAAAACAGTACATTTGAATGCTTTTCGTCTTTGCTCCATTTGAAATATTTCGAGTTTAGATGAGTGCTAATTTCAGGGCATTTTTTAAGAAATTACAACTACTGGGGCTTAGTCTTGATGAGGGCCTTTTCTCCACACAGTTTATACGGGTACACAAAAACCACTCTGTGCTAGTCAGGGGCAGCGCTATTCAGAATAGGGGGTGGGTGGGTGGGTGGGTGTGAGTGAAATATTGCCTACTAATTTCAAACGCTAACTAGTGTTTCTTTTCATCCAACTGGGATTAGATATTTTGCTGACTACCTGATGATTGGGGTATTCCACACCCACAACCCACTTTTAGCGCCGCCCCTGCCTGTGCTGATTTTGATAAGAGAGCCATGTAGAGAATGTGAGGGGATATGAGAAAGCAGGCAGATGTAGCTTTTTCAACAAGGTTAGCCTTTTACTAATGATCAAAAGGGCCCAGCTCATCTGAAAACATGCTTCACTACCGGGGCAAGCAAAGAGCCTACTGGGGTAAATGCCCCAGTAGTTATATAGTTAAAAAATGCCCTGGCTAATTTAATTTGTAAACAAACTTAGTGTGAACCATTGAAATGAATATAACTGGAATGCTACCTTCAGATAAACTGTCTATCTTTTTCTTGACGCCAAATCTCGACCCCAGACACGCGTATTTATATCATGATTGACTGATTGAGCGCTCTTCGCATGCGTGAAAAGACTGGGACTGGCCTTCAAGTTTGGCCTCAAATTTCTGGTTGGAAGTAACGTTCCAGTTATATTCATTTCAATGGTGTGAACACACTGCCAGCATTATTTCGCGCCATTGTAGTGTGAACGTAGTCTAGGGCTCAAAATAACGGGAGGTCTCCGGTCAAAATGACCTGACAACTTGATCTTGATCTATTTTTGACCGGTCATCGATACGCTTACACTAACAGTGAAACAAACTATTAGAAACTTGTTTCGATATACATCATAGTTTCATGTTTTAATTCAAGGCGTCAGCAATCACATTGGAAGGCATGAAAATGTGGCCGCGGTCAAAATGACCGGTGAGGTAAAAAAGGTGACCGGTCAAGAGGCAGTTTTGGCCGGTCATTGTCCGTTGACCGACCGTTATTTTGAGCCCTGTATAGTCCTTTCATCATCTGTAGATATTTCATTACGGCACAACAAAAGCGGTCCTGCTGTATATTATTGCATAATTGGATTCTCGTATCACCCTAGATATCCATGTGTACACGCCGGTACCCTACTAGTAAGGAATCTGGTTAAATAAGTAATGTTAGGGTTAGGCATAGTGTTTATCTCCTGAAGAAAGTTTACTCACGCTAAGCGTATCGAGCAGGAAATGGCCTACTACGACGAAACGGCTCGTACCCCTCATCAGGGTCATGTGTCTTCGATTTTGGCATCGGATATAAAATATGATCACAAACTTCCTCATCTAAGTCATCCACAATGCATTTCACGTACTGTTTGATATGTTTATCGATGTATTTTTCTGTTGCCGAGCCCATCGATAAGATTTGGTAGTGGAATTCGCGCAGGTCAAATTTATCCCCAAGTTCCTGCTCGCAATATTCTCGCATTTGGATGATCTTTTGTTGCCCGAGTTTGTACGCGGTCGCCTGTCCCGGACCGCCCTGGTAACGAGTGACTTCCTTTTGCGCGATCTCGCCATCCTCCCAAGCGTATTTTGAGAATAATTCCAAAGCCTCAGTTCTAAAATAAAAAAGGGAAACGCGTTTTAGTAGGTTGATGGGTGCGGAACTCCAAAGATAAGTCAGACTGACCATATAGCTACATTTTTCGAAACTGCTCCTAATCTGAGCTACGAGGCCAAGTCTGTTCGAGTGTGTGGTATTTCGGAACTAAGTCTATATAGTACCTTCGATATTGGACTAGTATCCCAAGGGTCGCGGATTCGATTCCCACCGTGGCCAGGCTAACTTTTTTTAGCCTGCCCGGTGTGGATATACACTCAGAGTAACATCAAGAACATTATATTCACCTGAGTACATAACATCAAAACACACACAAAAATATCATGATCATAGAACACATTGGTATCGAAGGTACTAGACTTAGTTGCGAAATACCACACACTCGAACGGACTTGGCCTCGTAGCTCAGTTGGCAGAGCATTGGACTATAGTATCCCAAAGGTCACGGGTTCGATTCCCACCGTAGTCAGGCGAACTTTTCAGCCTGCCTGGTGTGGATATACACTCAGAGTAACATCAAAAACATTACTCCTAATCTATTAAAACGTATAAAATTCACACTCGAAATTTCCATCTAAAAACACTTCTACAAATGGCGAAATAGACTATTTTGGTCTTTAAAAGCTCTTTTTCAGGGTTTCCATCTGCAATAACAGCTAGTAAGGAATGTGTGGATGACCCTTAGTAGTCCTGTTAGCCCTCTGTAGCGACACCAGTTGAATCATAACTGATGGAGCTATTCTGTTACTTCCATAAGTATTTTGATATTGGTAACAAAGTGTGACTTCACGTGACCAACCTGCTCATTCCGCGATAATGAAGACCTGTGTCAACGATTAGACGCAAAGCTCTCCAGATCTAAAGAAATACATCATGTATTAAAAAATAAATTCATACTTATTCTCGCGTTCAGCTGGAAAGAACGAAAAACGCGTTATACTGTAGGATTTTAAACACACACATTTGGAGTTTGGATCGTGTCGGGCAGGGCCGAAACTTGACCGTACGTACCCCCTCCCCCACAGTTGCGGCCCTGCTGTCAGGTTCAAGTGTTAAACATTAGAGAATGTCAGAGTTTGACTTCTACTACCGTTATCGTTACGATTAACCAATCCCAATGTTATATAAAGCTGAGCAGAACAACAATATTACCTGCCATTGCAACATTCCATACTTTTTTAAGGGATATCCGTCGTATGTGTCAGTGTCTTCAGAAATAACTGGCTTCTCGGCATACAATGCCCAACCCTCTCTGAAAAAACTATACCCTGATTGGGAGTCTAACCATTTCAGAACATCTTCGCATTGGTCAGTAAAGTATTCTGCGAAACCTGTAAGATAAGGTAATATAATGTAATGTGATGTAAGGTAAATTATGGTATGGTATGGTATCGGTATGGTATGGCATGGTATGGTATGGTATGGTATGGTATGGTATGGTATGGTATGGTATGGTATATGTTATGGTATATGGTGTGATATGGTATATGGTATATGGTATGTGGTATATGGTATATGATATGGTATGGTGGTATATGGTATATGGTATGGTATGGTATGGTAATATGGTATGGTATGGTATGGTATGGCATGGCATGGCATGGCATGGCATATGGTATGGTATGGTATGGTATGGTATATGTTATGGTATATGTTATGATATGGCATATGGTATATGGTATGTGGTATATGGTATATGATATGGTATGTGGTATATGGTATGGTATGGTATGATATGGTATGGCATGGTATGGTATTGTATGGTATGGTATGGCATGGCATGGCATGGCATGGCATGGCATGGTATGGTATGGCATGGTATGGTATGGTATGGTATGGCATGGTATGGTATGACATGGTATGGTATGGCATGGTATGGTATGGTATGGCATGGTATGGTATGGCATGGTATGGTATGGTATGGTATGGTATGGTATGGCATGGTATGGTATAGTATGGTATGGTAAAGTAAGGTGATGTGTATAAGACAAATTACTCACGAATTACCTACCTTGCATTTGAGTATGGTGCCCAGGCCAGCCTTCGTGTGCAACTACACTCCAGTCTGAAAATTTCGGTCCGTATTTTTTTACGAAGAAAGGTATGTTCATAAACGCTGGTTTCTGACAACCTGCACTGGACACTGAGTACGACTGAGTCGCAAACGATGGGTTAAAATCGGGCCTGATTTCCAAAGGACAGTTAGGAATTGTAATCTTATTGCCAGTATGGTAAAACATTGGAATGAGTTTTGGTGCCAATATCGCTCCCGTTTGACGGCCATAACCGGCCCATTTCAACATAGCTTCCCAACGTGTAGGACAATTCAACTTCGCAGACTCGATGTCTGAACAATTTTTGAATGCAGCAGCGTCCGATTCGTTTGCAGGAAACGGCCCGTCGTTGAAATATTCTTCCGACGAGTTCAGTAGCTTCTTGAATTCACGAATAGCTGTTTCGTTGTCTGATTCGCCTGTGATGTTGCGGGCTATCTCTATTGCCTAAAATATACGTAAAATTAAAAAATCATGTACTAATGTACTATTTAAAACACCAGCAGAAGTGCTTATCAGATATTACAACTGATAATACATCTGAACTTAAAAGAACGACCCATCTTAAGAGTTCTTTGGCGAAGTAATTATCAAAATAAACGTTATCTAAGCCGAAAAAATCAAGCTAAAGTTTATGTAAGTTAATTAATTAAATTAACAAGATTTTTATCACATATAAAACCACCGAGACATTCACACAGTATATTGATTTCCTCTGTCTTTTCCTTATGAATAATTGAGCTTTTTAAAGTAATACATTGATTACATTGGTCGAAATTAATTTTGCATCGAGAGAAAAAATGATCAGTGCCATCTACTTTTCAATCCGGTGCATAGAGGATTATTTCTGTAACTATATAGTGTAACGTTATTTTTCTTCTTATTAGCCTTACTGATGATTTTGATAGAGACACAATTATTCTCACCTGTGGATAAAGAGCTGCTAGGGTTTCCTGTCCAATTTTATAAATCTCATCTGGCGTAATATCACTCGTGGTAAAATATGGTAAAATATTTTTGTAGTTTTCCTTCCCGTTCAACTTCTGTCCAGTTATTGGCAAGACTTTGGTGGTGGGAATGATGGAAGCGGTACCGTCAATATATATAAAATCCACGGGAAGTCCAGCTAGACCACTGGAAAGATCTCTGGGAAGGCAATGTCGCATATGTTCATCCTCAAGGTATTTCACAAAATCGATTAAAGGCCTTCCAATTCCTAGAATATGACAGAGCGTAAACTAAACATAGTTAGACCCCGTTTAAACACGGTACCGGACGAATTTGGAACCGGGCTGAAATTCGCCCGTTTCGACCTTCCGTGGTACACGACTGAACCACGTGGAACCGGACGAATTTGTGACCCCCTAACAGGACAAATTCGCATACGTGTAAACAGGCGAAAAAGGACGAATTTCAGGCCGGGCCCAAATTCGTCCGATACCGTGTAAACGGGGTCTTAAAATAAACGTTAAACGGGGTCTTAAAATAAAGTTCTTTGCAAGTATGGCGATAGTATAATATAAGTTTTGGTTTCAGTGCAATAATTAACAAATAGATAAGATTTTGCCGTTCTTCGTTCTACGTAGAAATAGAAAATTGTTCTGAGGTAATTCTTTCGAAACTGAGAAAATTTGGGAGTAGCTGACCTTCAACTAATGCCTCGTCAATTGAAGCGGACACAGTTTTGCCTTTCATCCTCAGCCATTCCCTTGTATCATCGTCTGATAAAGCCTCGATGTACAACTCCTCGCGATAACGCTTTACATGTAGTTCTTCCAAGATATCATTAGGATTGTTGTCCTTTGTTGTCTTCTTGAAGTGCTGTTTAAATGCATTCAGCCCAGACTTGCAGTTGTTTTTAGAACGGATCATGCCTGATTTGACTCCCAGACGCATGTTCAACCTGAAATTATCAATTAAGTATTGGTGATCATAAGTTTTCAGTATGAGGTATGAGGTATGATAAAATCGTTGTAGCCTATGCATGACAAGAATGGCTTCGCGCAAGAGTTGACATTGGACGACGCGGTCTCAATTTCAGCTCAACTAGCTGATTGAGACCTAAGGAATTTGGTTACTGTAAATCCGGGAAGATATTTAAAATGACCTTGCACACTGAACAGAAAAGTTCAGATTTTATTTAACTCCTCTAACGTCTCAACAACCATTAGCGTGACGCTGCTCGAAAGACGTCACCAAATCTTAGTTTAAAGCCCTGGGCAAACTAGCAAACATTGTTGCGGAAACATTTGCGATTCGTGATGTTTCCTCAAATGTTTCCCTCTTAATTTGCCCACCCAAGGAAACATTGTTGTGGAAACAAAATTTGCTTCCCGAGAACTGAAAAATGTTTCGAATCCTAGCAAATTCAGAAACATTTGATGTTTCCCTATGTTTCTCACTAATGTTTCCAAGTGTTTGCACATTCTGGGAAACATGGCGAAACATTGTCAGGAAACAATGTTTCCGCGACAATGTTTCCTAGTTTGCCCCTCCTGGCTTTACGTTGTATTCAGAATGACAATGTTGTTGAGGATACCCCTGGGACCACAAGTTGTTAAAACTTTTTGTTTAGCATGAATAATTTCTTTGTTTCGAAAGGTTGTCTTTCAGTTCGCGTGATCGCGCCGTATGTTTTAAAACAGTCTAGTTATATAACGTTACTATTTAGGTAGCCTGTGTGACCGCTACGACTACGTACGAGGCCGGTCAACAGTCTTTTAGGATTGAGATTAGTTTATTCGCGCGAAACAAAATGATGCACCATTCTTCTTCCTTCGCCGGCTCAAAAGTGCTTATATGATTGAATGCCGCCAATAAAGTATAAATGCGCTGGACGGTAATACCATAGGCATAGCATATTATACAAACAATGGATGTTTAAGAGTGCAATAGTAAAAATATTTTCGAGTGAGGGAAAGATGGAATTTTATGTTATAAAAATGACCAGAATTATATAAATGTCATAAATGACAAGCGGGCATATTTACTGCAGGGTATAGATTTACAGTCCAATGCGTATCATTTTTCATGTTGCTGATTTTCTACTTGCAACAAGAAACCACAGTTTTAGAGTGAGAAACCCTCGACGTCTCAAACTAATTTGCCTTGCAAATTTAAATATTTATTTTTTTATTTATTTACAGTATCATCGCCAGCGTATAAAACAAAATGGCGTCAAAGGAACATGGAATGTTGGGGAAACGTAAATATAAAACGAAGGCAACAGAAGAAAATAGTCGCCGTGTGAAAATGAAACGTGTCTGGGTTCATAAACCTTCCGCTCAACCTCATGTAGACTGGCAGTCGACAAAGAACACCGTCTCAGAAAGAACCCGACACATGTTTAACAATTCGGACATGAGCGACATCAGCTTTACTTGCGAAGGTTCAGACAAGATGTTCTATGCCCATAAATATATCTTGGCTACAAGCAGTGCTGTATTTAAAGCAATGTTCTATGGCGATTTAGCAGAGAAGAATTCGACCCTTCGTCTCAGCGACACGGATGAGATAAGTCTGGAGGAATGCTTGAGGTTCCTCTACACAGACGAATGCAATTGGACGAGTCTAACGATAGAAAATGCTGTGTCTATCATGTATTTATCAAAGAAATATATTGTGCCTTCGCTGACTGAAGAGTGCGTTAAATTCCTTGAAAGAGAGACGGAGCCCAATAACGTGTTGTATATCTTAGAACAAGCTATTCATTTTGATGAGAAACATTTAGAAATTAAATCTTGGGAGTTTATAGACTGGAACACTAACGACATTGTGGTATTGGAATGTTTCAATTTGATTAGCCATAAATCATTAGCTTGTTTGCTCAAGCGGGACAGCTTGGATATTAAAGAAGTTGAACTTTTTAAAGCTGTTTTAAAATGGATCGACTACCAATGTTCACAGAAAGGTTTAGATAGAACAAGGGAGAACAGGAGATTCGTTATTGGCGATGCGATATACGATCTAAGATTTCTTGCTATGCGTGAGGACGGATTCGCAAAATATGTTGCTACATCTGGACTGCTTACGGCTGAAGAAATCGTTTCAATTTATAATAAATTTAATAATATTGAATCACCTGATCTAAAGTGGAAGCTATCAAGAAGCCGTATAAACAATGAAAAATCAAGAGCTAGAATTATTAAAGCATTTAAGTCTGAAATGAAATACTTGAGACGGCAACAGGAGTCTCTGTTAGCGCAATTGCAATAGCGAAAATAGCGAGGCATTTGAACTACAGTTAGCAATAGTAGAAATAGCAAAACTATATTTTTACGATCTCCCAATTTAAAAGTACAAATCAGCATTGAGATTTTGAGGACAAGAACCACATTTACATTGGACGGCTCGATCAATTCTAAACTATTCTTCCTGGAAATTCTGAAGTTCAATAAGGCCATACCTAGCTTTATACGCAATATTGCTCTAGTGAGTAGTGAGTATAGTGTTATTACAGGAGGAAACATAAACCACACAAAATTTATTAATACTGGATAGTCTACACGAAGCTTACACGAGTTCTAAACTGTTCTCCCTAGCGATCTGAGGAGACCTGTATGCAAACTTGACTCATTTTATTTATTTATACAGTTCGTATATTGGATAGCTCCATGACCATGTAGTACAAATTCTAAACTGTTCTCACTAGAGGTCCAGTATTAAGGGTCATTATTATTGTCACATGATATTACCAGACGAAAACCTATCTTATTTACACTGGATAGTTCTATCAGTTTTGATGTCTAGTTTTGATGTTTAAACTGAAGAACTAAAAGAACCCAGTTATAGTTACCGAACACGGAAGCAGAGTTTGGTTGTGACTAAAAGCTTACATGAAGGCGAAATTCTAATCATGTTCCACAATTGGAAATTACCGATTACAAATTCATGCAACAATCTAGCCGATACTATAAATGTTATAAATGTACCAATATCGATTTTATAATATATGATGTCATGCATGTTGTCAGTCGACGGAGTAAAGCTGACGTCGTTCATTTCGAGTTTTTAATGTACTATTTAAAACATGAGAAGAAGTGTTTTATCAGATATAAAGATTCGAGGCGAAGCCGAGTATCTTTACGACTTTAGGTCTGATAAAACACGCACTGCGAATGTTTTAAATTGCTTCAAAAACGATTGATCTAGTAAGTTCATTGGCAAAGTAATTTTCAAAAAATACGTCGTGCAAGTCGAGAAAATGAAAGTTAAAGTTTATGTAAATCAAGGAAAATCTCTATCACATATAAAGATACGACCGAGGATACGACTTTTATAGTTTAATGAGTTTTTGAAGATAATTTCCACGGTAACATGTTACTGCAACTAACGTTCGTTAAAACCGCTCATAAATATAAATGACACGCTTCACGCATTAATTGCTCCACACCTAACATGCAACACGATACCGTTTTATTGGATTAAACATTTGTTTACTTCAGTCCTTAATTTTTTTACTTCATTACCCCCAAAGCAATTCTTTTCTAATTTCGTTTAAAAGTTGACCAACTATTTTGACCATATATTTCCCATTTTGACTACCTTTTGAACTTAAAACACCCAATACCGATTATCGTAAACTTCTAGTAAATTAAAGAAATTCAAAAATTGATCTTACTGGTATTGTTTCACGGCTTCTCCATGTTGATATATCATATCCAATATGCGTTCTAGACCATCCAAATCTTTAGGCTTCACCCACATCGAATATTCCTCCAGGTCGTAGCCCAAGAAACATATTGATTGCCAGCAAAAATGATTTGGACCTAACATCCAGTCACCGCTGTAGAAATTTGCATCGTAGGGAGAGGCAAAAGTCGTGCGCAAGAAATGTTTCAGCTGAAACGAATTAAAAATGAGGCGGTTTATGAAAATCAAGTCATAAAACTAACTTCATTTATACTGAATGTAATCTAATCCCCTACAGGCCTACATTTAAGTGCATATGAAGGGGAAAACGAAAAAAAAAGGAGAAAAAACCCCAAAAAAACGTAAAGTAAAAAAAAGTATTACGTTTTATGTTTTTTTTCTTGTTTTTTTTTTTACTTTACGTTTTTTGTTTTTTTTTCCCTCCCCCCCCTTTTTTTCATTTTTCCCTTCATAAAAGTGCACTTGAAGGGAAAAATTCTAGTTCCCTACATATTTATTGATGACAAGAAACTTACTAGCCAGTCAGAGGCGGACCTTTAGAAAAGTGTTTGGGGGTGGGGGAGGGGGGAGAGAGATTGTCTCTACTTGCACGAATTTTTTTCGGCCGTCTGTTTTTTGCGGAATTTTAAAGGGTTTTTCTTTGTTTTCCCTCTCCCCTGCTAAATGCATCCTTTAGTATTTCTTTGTCTAATGCAAATGTATATTGTCTATTTTTCTCATCAAAAACAGACACTACATGCGTTGACAATGTTTGCTGACAAAGGCAAGAAGACGGACTTCACTAACCTGATAAAGAGCTTTAGCTTCTCTTGGCTTTAATTTTAGTTCATCGATGTCCATACCTTTTATCTCTTCAAACAAGGATAAGGAGGCATCAGTCCTCTCTTTTAAATACTCCGGAGTGAAATTCATCGGGCGATACCTAGGAATTCAGCAAGAATCAATCACTACCTCTAATCAGTCTCTCAGTTTTAATGCTATACTGAGGAAGCTGCGAAAATTTCTATTCTCTTAATTAAACGAAAAAAATCTTAAAATTCGTGAGAATTTTTATAATTTCATGTTCGCTATTGAGATATTTCGACTTGTATGAAATTCAAATAGATAATTTATGGCACATTTTCTCTAGTTAACATGTGTGGGGGGGGGGGACAGCCCCTCCAATCAGTGTTTAGTCTACCTCAAGTAAAAATCAAGCAATTCGCTAGGCTGCTCGCCTCGGTATTATATATTAACTCGCAAATAGTTCTAAATATTTTGTCCGCCTCCTTAATTCCCC